TCAAGCTTGGAGTTTGACCCATCATTGTTAAACAAAGGCTACGCAACAGATGGGGACAACTCATCACAGGTTGGGGACATAGATACCTGGCTGGAGGAATTACCTTCCCTGCAAAGAAAGGTTGACCACATTGTTAAGCAAAAGGAAGCATTAGAAGCCATGTCAAAAACAAATAATCCTATTTTGGATGAATCAAGTCCTAATTTAACATCCACTGATCCTAATGATGGTTTTATATTGGTAACAAGGAAGAAAAGACACCCTAGAATACCCCCTGAAGCCTCATCAGTAATGACCAGACTTGCAGCCAAAAGGCTATCACAGGCTTCTCTCCCTGTTTCCTCATGAATTGCCTTTTCTGGAACACTAGAGGTCTTGCTTCCTCCTGCCCAAGACTCTCTAGTTTAATTAGGCAGTGGGATATCCATTTTGTTGCTGTTTTTGAACCCATGGTTGACAATTCTAAGGGTGAAGACTATATGAGAGACCTTGGACTCTCAGAATGTTTCTTACATCCTTCTGGTAAAATTTGGCTTTTTTGGAATTCTTCTATGATTTCCGTTTCTCATTTCATTCATAGAGAGCAGTTAGTTCATTGTTATGTTTCTTTGGGATCCCTATCTTTCTGGATTACATCTATTTATGGTAAATGCACTGTTTTGGAAAGAAGGGATTTGTGGGCTTTTCTAAATGACTGGTTTGATAATAACCCTGGCCCTTGGGTGATTGGGGGAGATTTTAATGCTATAACATCCTACAATGATCCATTCCTAATTTGGATAGCATGGAGGATTTTAATAACTGTATAGCACATTGTGAACTTATTGACTTGCCCTGGATTGGTAGCCAGTTCACTTGGACTGGGGTCAGAAGTAATGGGAGAATTTGGCGAAGATTAGACAGAATACTTGTCAATTCTGCATTTCAGGATCTTTTTAGTAACCTTATTATTCAACATTTGAATAAGTCTTCCTCTGATCATACCCCTATTTTATTGAAGTGCAAACCTTCTCAGTTTTCTGGCCCTAAACCTTTTCGTTTTCAAAATATGTGGATTTCTCATCCTAGTTTCAAGGAGTTAGTTACAAAGAGCTGGAACTTTTCTAATCATGGGGGTGGAATGAGAGGGCTTTTTATTAAACTCAAAGCTCTAAAGAAAGATCTGAAGGAATGGAATCATGCAGTTTTTGGTAATGTGTTTGATAAGGTCAAAAAATGGGAGACTAAAGCTGAAGAGGCTGAAAGTAGATTTGAAGAACAACCTGATGAGAATAATAGATCCAGTTGGCATGAAGCCCAAGCCCAACTGATTCTAGCCTACAAGCAGGAAAAACAGTTCTGGAAGCAGAAGGCTAGAATAAAGTGGCTAAAAGGAGGAGATAGCAACACTCAAATTTTCCATAACTTTGTAAAAGGAAGGCAAAAAAGAAATCATATTTCTGCAGTTCAAAAGGAAGATGGTACCTGGATATCTGGCACAGAGCATATTGGACAAGCAGCAGCTCAATACTATGAAGGAGTATTCTCTAACCCCGATAGCCTGAATATTACACCTGAGTTAGATGAAGTGCTTCATTATATTCCTCAGCTTATTACTCAGGAGGAAAATATGATGTTAACAACAATTCCTTTGGAAGGGGAAGTCAAAGAAGCAGTCTGGAGCTTAAATCACCTCAGCGCAGCAGGCCCTGATGGCTTTAATGGCAAATTTTTTAGAAGTTGTTGGGAGATTGTGAAAGCTGATGTTACATCTGCTGTGCAAGACTTCTTTCTTTGCACTCCTATTCCTAAAGCCATGGGCAGCACTACCATTACCCTTATTCCTAAAGTGGATAGGCCCAAGAACTTCGCTGAATTCAGGCCCATCTGCCTATCCACTTTCATTAGCAAAGTATGTACTAGAGTTCTAACTACTAGACTCAGCTCTATCCTACCCAAAATCATATCCAAGGAACAGGTTGGCTTCCTTCAGAATAGAGATATTGGGGGACATATTTTATTGGCTCAAGAGTTGATGCATATGATTGATAAAAAGGTAAGAGGTAGCAATGTAGCTATTAAATTAGACATGGCCAAAGCCTTTGATAAAGTTTCTTGGTCATTTCTTAAAGATGTTCTTGGTAGATTTGGTTTCTCAGATCATTTTATCAATATTATCATGAACAACCTTAAAGCTACTTACATGTCTGTCATGGTGAATGGGACAACACATGGTTTTTTTAAGCCTACTAGGGGTGTAAAACAGAGGGATCCACTATCTCCTTACCTTTTTATCATTACATCTGAAGTGTTCTCAAGGGGTTTGAATCAATTAATTCATCAAGGAAGAATCTCACCTTATTTGGTCAGTAGGAATGCTCCAGTTGTCTCACATCTTGGGTATGCTGATGATCTCCTTTTATTCCTCAATGGTAGTGCTAGATCTCTGCAGAACTTTAAACACTTTCTCTCTGTCTATTAGTTTGCTTCTGGGCAGACTGTCAATTACAATAAAAGTCAGTTTATTATAAGGACTTATTTGACCCCTTTTATGCAACTTCGAGGACCAAACTGACCCTTTACTCGAAGAAAAAGTTTTGGCAAGAAATTAGTGCAGGTGAAAAGATGTTAACACCAAGAATGTTTTTGACACCATAAGATTTGAGATTACCTTTCAAGTTTCAAAGAAGGCGGTTTCTTTTTATTGCATCATACGCAATGACAGTAAATAAGGATCATGGACAATTTTTATTTTATGTTGGATTGGTTTTGCGAAAACCAATTGTTAGCCATGGTCAAATGTATGTAGCTCTTTCGCATATTATTGATCCTAATGATTTGAAGATTCTTATATGAAACAAGGAAGGCCAAAGTACCAATGCAACAACAAATGTTTTTAAAGAAGTGGTTCGAAATTTGTAAGCATTCGTGACTTTCATATTTTAATTGTCTATCCATTCAATAATGTTTTTCCTTATTTATTTATAAATCGTTTGAGTTGATAATTGATATATTAAATTACAACAAATGCACTTTTATATGCAAAATTATTAAATGTATGTGTACGATTCGACATATATTCCTTAAGATGGAATATAATTTCCCCTCTGCATTGCATGAGTACCATTAATAATGACGCACATGTGGATGATGTGTGGTTATCAATGGAGTACACCTTTCACAAAGTGGCGAAAAAGATACTTGGAGAATCTAAAGGATGTCTACTACAAAAAAGGACATATTTTGGTGGAATGATGAGGTGAAACAAGCAATGAGGATCAAAAGGGAATGCTATAAGAAATTGGGCAAAAGTTGGAGCGACGAGAACATAGAGGAGTACAAGGAGACCAAAAGAAGAGAAAAGAAGGCTGTAAAGGAAGCAAGAGGAAAAGTGATCAAGGAATTGTATGTAAAATTGGACTCTAAGGAAGGATAAAAAGATATTTACAGACTTGCTTGTCTTCGTGACTGTAGGACTCAAGATATAAGAAAAGTTAAGTGTGTGAAGGATGTCGATCAAAGAGTACTAATGGAGGACGGGGAGATAAAAGAGAGGTGGAGGTCTTACTTTGATACACTATTCAACGGGAACAAAGCGCAAGATATTGGTGATTTGACCATACCAGATTGTGGGTAAATCTTGATTTTTTGAGAAGGATCCAAATAACGGAAGTTAAGGAGGCTCTGAGGAAGATGAGGCAGAAGAAAGTAGTGGGTCCAGATGGCATATCGACCGAGTCTTGGAGAAGTTTGGGAGAGAGAGGCGTCGAGTGGTTAACAGGTTTCTTCAACATGATTTGGAGAAACAACAAGATGCCAACGAGTTGGTGGAAGAGTACTCTTATCCCCTTATTCAAGAATAAAAGTGATGTACATGCTGCGTTGGATGTGTGGGCATACTTGGAAGGACCACATGAGAATTGAGCCAATCAAACAAAGGGTAAGAGTAGCACCTATTGAAGACAAGATGCGGGAGTCTCGCCTACAGTGGTTTGGTCATGTGCGCAGAAGACTGAGTGATGCACCTGTCAGATGTGTTGAGATGTGTGGAGAAGAGGCAGGGAAGAGAGGGAGAATAAGACCCAAACAGACGTGGGTTAGGGGAGTCCGAAGTGATATGCTTCTTCTTGGGTTGGATGATGGTATGACTTTGGAGAGAGCAAAGTGGAGGACGGGTATTCGTGTGAATGAGTGATCTCGTATTATTATTTCCCCTCATCTTTTTCTTCTTGTTTTTTATTCTTTTATCCTTATATATAAACATTATTTTTATCCTTTTTATTTTATCATTTTTAGGTATATTCATCTCGTTTTATATTATCTTTTTTATAATAGTTTATTTTTTTCTTTATTTTCGTTCTTTTCCTTTTGGTGATAATATCATATATCGATTCATGTTAGCCGACCCCAATATCTTTTGGAACTAAGTCTTGGATGTTGTTGTTTGTTGTTGTATTGCATGGGTACCATAATAATAATTCTCTCATCCATTAAGTAATTAATAATTAATTAGTGGTTTTATATACTTATATCTCCTATGTATACAAATTTCAACAACACTATTTTTATTATTTTATTAAGACTGTGATCAATTTTGAAGGCACAAGGGACCCAACATGACTACATGAGACTAAAGCAATAGATTAGATTTGTTAGGAAAAATTGAAAATAATAATCCCAACTATTGCCAGTCCGCTAACAATAATCCCAACTATTGATTATTTTTGTCTAATCCCAACTATATGGACCGTCCGCCAACAATAGTCCATGACCAAATAAAAATTGAATTTCAAATAGAAATTAAGCGTAAAAATTAAAAGTTAGGATTATTTATAGGGATTGCTTGCTATATATTTCTTCTCATCCACTTTAGAAACTATAAGAATTTATTTATAGTCGGTCACATCGGACCATTATTGGCGGAAGGTCCCTAAAGTTGGAATTATTCTGAAATAATCGATAATTGAGATTATTATGAGCGGACCGCTAATAGTTAATTTTCCTATCAATTTATTGACCATGTAAAACCCTAAACCCAAACTTGTCGTGGTATATGGAGCAAGTGGCTAAGCTGCTATAAAGCCCTGAGAATTGGTGCTGTGGATTGGAGCGGAAATGGCCGGTGCATTGCTCCGTTCTCTCTGGTCATCTTCTAGAAGATCCTTCCCTCCCACATCCGTCTCTGATCCCATCCTACACAACTATGCACGGGTTACTAGATCTGCACGCGCCTTCTCAGCCGCCACAGCTGCAGCGCCTGCAGCTATCCCTGGTGGTGCGGTGGATCCTGGCTTGCTGAGGAACGTCGCCGTCATAGCTCATGTCGATCACGGGAAGACCACTCTCATGGACCGGCTCCTCCGCCAGTGCGGTGCTGACATCCCACACGAGCGTGCTCTTGATTCTATCAGCCTCGAGCGCGAGCGTGGTATCACAATTGCTTCCAAGGTCTGCATCTTACTTTTAAAGATGGAAACTTTTTATTGCTCTTCCTAATCTGGCTTTAACAAAACTTTGGGAGATGAAGTAAAATCTCATCTAAGAATCAATATTTCAGACGGTGAGATACTAATGATTAAAAAGAAATGCAATGGGACTAGTCTAAGTTTATACTTTAACTACTAGGAGAAAAACGAAGTCGATATTCTACCAATGAAGATGAGTTAAATAATACGGAGTAAATATTAGCAGTCACTAAATAATACAAGTATGATTTTATCAATCAAAAGAACTCTTTTCATGGAAAATAAGAGAGATCAGATGAAGTTTCTTTTGGCTTTTTTTGCACCACATGTAGCGCCAGTTCTGATTCTTATAGTTAATTACTATCTATTCAAGTTAATTGAGACTTCTGCTCTCCTTAAACACCCCCCTCTTTTGTTCTATAAGGAGTCCTTTGACATATTTCTCCAATACTGTAGAGTTTTCTCTCACTCTGTTCTTTTTTTATTTCTTAATGCTGGTTTCTTAAACTAAGAAACTTATGCCAAAAGACTGGCACAATCTGTTTGATTCCACTGGCAATGACGAGAAAAGGCCGGTCATACGGCTGCCGCCTGTGCTTGGTAGTAGTGTGATGATTTGTTTTAGGAGGTATACCTTCTGAGCTAGTGGTGTAGTGTACACTATAAAAATATTACAAAATAATAATTTTCTTTTTTCTTAAGTAAAACTAGTATCTCACTGTGCCATGCACGGATTCTATGCAGTAGTTAGTACACAATTTAATATAGCATAATGAATTAATATAGCATGTGATGCACAATGTGTAATTCTTAAATGTTTGAATGTATGATAATGATATGCTTAAAGCCTTAAATAGTCAAATACGGAGTATGTTTTTAGCTTCTACAATATACTCATTTTATGTATTTGGCTCCTATAATTTAATGATTTTTCCCCTTCAATATTTTACTATTTTAGCTTAATAGTTCTTTTTCTTTTTGTCAAAATAGTCACATTGTAACAGACTAACAGGTTTGCAACTGTAGCAACACATCCCACATTAATAGCCCATGAACTTCGCATATTCTTGTACATTTGAAAAGTGCCGATTCCTTAATAGCATCTTTTTTATTTGTCATATTATCAATATTGTACCGAGGGTGTCTTTTCTTTAGAGTATACCCAATCAGTATAGCATCCTGCTTCTGACGAAGCAACATATTTTGAATTGAAAGTAAATGCTCAATTTTTTATTTATTATTGACTCTTTCACTATTAACGTAAAATAAAGTTATTATCGTAAAATAAAGTTCTATTCACTAAAATTCAATAGAAAAGAAAAGCCCTTAACTCAATGAAATGAAATAGAGGCGCGATTTATCAAAAAACCTGTCTTTGTCCGTTTGTTGGAGAAGCGGATGTTTTTCTGTACTCTTAAGCTATCATCCACATCAGCAGAGAGTATGAATTAGGAATTGGTATATTATAGGTATCAAACAAAACTTATGTGTATCAATAGCAACAAAATCCAAATCTGAGTATATTAGACGTGCCAAAACAGTGACTAGGTTTATTTATAGGCAGCTTCATACAACTCCACATGGTAAAACCGACGTCAACAACAGTCAACAATCCAGAGCTTCATTCAACGTTCAATGAAGTGATTAACCCTCGTTGACCTTCAACTTTTCATCATACACAATGTACCATTTTCCACATAAGTCAACCAGACACTGTGATCAAAACCCACAAACTTTATTAATAGGTCCGTTGCTGTATCGTGAGCCATAAAAGTTAACAGGTTTAATGCACCAAACTCCCTTGCGAAATATAAGTTAAGCGCATTAGCCCCATGTGATTTCAAAAGTGTGTCAAACCCCCATGTGTTATGGTTATTCATGCGCAAAACCCCTTCCATGAACAAATTTACTTGCCAAAAAAATGAAAATGATTTTTTTTTTATAATTTAGAAATTTTGACAAAGTTATATGCATATTCAACCATATTATTAAGAAAAGTGATTTCAAAATTATAAAATTTGTTCGCGGAGGGGTTTTTGCGCATGAATAAATATAACGTAGGGGTTTGACACATTTTTTAAATCACAGGGGCTAATGTGCCAAATTAATATTTCACGAGGGGGTTTGATGCATTAAACCCAAAATTTTCTCATGTTAATATGGGCCTATCGTTTACAGATGCCATTTGCATGCAGGTTTGTGCTCGGCCTAACAAACTCACCTAACATACTTATCATATATAGTCTGTTTTTGGCCAAGGTGAAAAACATAGTCCACGGTGATTTGGATTATTAACAGTTTGGTGGAATTGTCTGTAGGATTTGTAGTTTTCACTCTTGTCGTGGTTGATCAATTTTGACCTATATGAAATTTGATGTGCTTCTATTGTGAAATTGCTAAATCTTGATGTAGGCTGATAGACGGTTAGGTTTTTCGGATTGTTATTCGTGGGTGAGAAACTGGTGATATTTCTGAGCTTATGTTATGGCCCCTCTAAATGTACTTAGTTTATGTTTGAGTCCCCATAAATATATATAGCTTTGTTTTGTCCCTCTAATGGACCAAATTTATATAAACCAGCCAAATTTTCGCACCTCTACTGTCCCCACCTCTATTTTCGTGCCTCCATTGACATGGCATATATGCGCTTATGTGGCACATGCTGCTGAGTGCTAAACTGCTGACATGGCATGCCAAAAGGTTGGTTACACAAAAACTTGTTACAATTTATAGTTTTTTTGACAGGGAGACTTTAATATTTTTATATACATTACTATACAATATTTCCAGGATCCAACCAAAAATACCACATCTTTCATATGGACCAAAAGCATAATGTGAGTATTTTATAAAGACAACAAGCTTATTTAAGCCTAAAGTGTATGTGAAATTGTGAATTACCCAATAAGAAAAAGCCACAATATGCATTCATAACAAACAAATTATAACAAACGAAATTATACATATAATAAAGAGCACAATGACACAATGTAAATAAAAAAGCAATATGGCTTCAATAATCTAGAATATGATTTAGGAGGTATTTCTTCTGAGCTGTGGTGTACCCTACTGTATGTAGAAATTTACATGATACATTTTTCACTTTTTTGTTGCTTTAAGTAATACTGCTCCAACTGTTCCCTCAAGCACCAGCACCTTCCATTCATCCTGCTTCTCTTCACTGTCAACTTGGCTCAATGCTTGCTTATTGCTTCCTTAATCTCTAAATTTATTCCAAAAGACTGAACATATCTGCTTGTTTCCACTGGCAATGATGAAAAAAGGCCGGTCATACGGCTGCCGCAATGTGCTAGGCAGTAGGGTGATGATATCTTTTACGAGGTGTATCTTCTGAGCCAGTGGTATTTGTACTGTATGAAAAATTACATTTTGATAATATCTCTGTCTTTTAATGTAAGATTACTCCACATGGAACGGTGGAAGCACATCCCATTCTGTACTGCTTTTCTTCCGCCCTGAATTTGTTTCTATGTTATTGGTTCCTTAATCTCTGCACCTAATTCCAAAGACTGGAATTTTCTGCCTTTTTCCACTGGCAATGATGACAAAAGGCCTTTCATACGGCTGCTGCCATGTGCTCGGTAGTAGTATGATGATGTGTTTTAGGAGGTATACCTTCTGAGCCAGTGGTAACAGTGTCCTGTCTGTAGAAATCTCACATTGTGATGTTTTTTTTTGTCTTTTCTTCTTCTTTCAATTTTAAGTAAAACAACTCCATAAACTTGCCAATGAGTGCATTCATCATGTGTAGCTGACCATATACTGGAAGAGTCATGAATTCTAGGTTTCTGTGTGTGTAGGCATACCTATATCATTTGATATGTTTTTTGTTGCTTGCAGGTTACCTCTCTATCATGGAAAAATAATGAGCTGAACATGGTTGACACTCCTGGACATGCAGACTTTGGTGGTGAAGTATGCACCTGTCTACCATTGGAAAATTCTATGTGCCACAAGTTTTCTTGCTTGTCTAGGGAATTAATTTAAAGTTCAATATCCCGTGCATACATGTTCTATTGGAGCTTTGTGGACTGACATGAAGTAAACCATTTTTTCCTTTAAAATTTCCTTGGCATAGGTTGAGCGTGTAGTTGGCATGGTTGAGGGAGCAATCCTAGTTGTTGATGCAGGTGAAGGACCACTTGCACAGACAAAATTTGTTCTTGCCAAGGCCTTGAAATATGGTTTACGTCCTATTCTTCTTCTAAACAAAGTAGACAAGCCTGCAGGTATCTATGGTCCTATTCTTCATCTACCGTCTCTTTAGGTGCTAATAGTTCACAATTTGACATGGACCTTGCAAATTTGTCGGGTTGTTCTTGTTACTTTTTACAGACAACCAGTCAACCATGTAGCAACCGATTTAATATTGTATACTATACTTCAAATACATTAAAAATGCTCATTTTTTTTAACTGAACAATGATTTCTTGTGTAAAGTGATGATGGGTGGAACCTAGAAAAGTAAGGCTGGAGAGCGGGGATAAATGATACATTAAAGATTCCTATCAATACACCATTAAAACAATATAAAACTGATTCAGATTCAAGCAATGTGTGGCTGATATAGCTACAATAATAGCTCAGCCCCAAAAAATAAATCTCTGAAATGTTGAATTTCAGATTTAGATTGCCACTTTCATTCTAAATTTCCATTGATAAAATACTAATATTTAATATTGTTTACTTGAACACATTTGTACTTAACAACAACAGAAGAAATATTTCTATTTTAATATGTGTAATAGGACTGAATTCAAGATCACACTAATGTTAAATGCTCAGAAAACATGATCATTATTAGCATCTTCAGTTTTTCTTTGACTTCTGCCCAATGCACAACATTTTAGTGATTTTGAATTAATTTCCTGCAGTTACTGAAGAGCGATGCAATGAAGTTGAGATTCTTGTCTTTGACCTTTTTGCAAACCTGGGAGCTTCAGGTTATATGACATGATATTTGTGCTCTTATGTCATCAAATTTAATCCTTATCTGGTAAAAGCATTCTATTTATGTAGACCAAGCAGTCGAGGCATAGCCGCATATAGTTGTGATGGACATCTGATATCAGTGGTTGTTTTCTTCACTGTTACCCTCCTTTATTTTCAGAGGAACAATTAGATTTTCCTGTTCTTTATGCCTCTGCAAAGGAAGGATGGGCTTCATCGGCTTATACAAAGAGTCCTCCAAACACTGCCAAAGACATGTCCGAATTGCTCGATACAATCGTACGCCATGTTCCTCCACCAACTGCCAATCTGGATGCACCTTTTCAGATGTTGGTTGGTACCCAGATAGTCATTGCTCTAGATCGATACTTGCAAAAATCATTCTCTCCGCATTATGCCCTTGATGTTGAAACATGTGCATTAGTATATTTACTATGTTAATTACTGCCTGTTAGGTGTTCATTTCTTTTGGAGTACAATTATGCTTGCTTATAGGACCTAAGTCGCTTGCTGATGTGTTGAAATGTCCTTTTAACCAGATTGTGTCAGTCAAAATCTTGTAAAGTTTCCGACTCAGTGTGTAGTTACGTGTCTTCAGTATACATTGGCACTGGTTGTGGTAGGTGTGAGAGATTCATGTTGGTTTGTAGATACATGAGATCCTTAGTTGCGACCAACTTTTGAAGTGGTACATTGTGATTATTCTCTGTTGGGAGTTTGTTGTAAATTTGTAATAGCTAAAGTGTAACATGATTATATTATCAAAATAGAGATAAATTTTTGTATGCTAGGTACACTCCCATACACAAAATCATTTGATATAACCAACGTCATTCTTCAGCCCTCAAAACAAATTTGAGTATCCTCATTTTTTTAAATAGTGGTACTTTTGTTAAATGTTACTTCCCAATGTTGTCCTTCTCTGTTTAGCTAATTTGTGAAAACCATACTTAATATTTCATTACCTCAGGTTTCCATGATGGAGAAAGATCCCTATGTTGGGCGAACGTTAACTGGACGTGTATCTTCTGGAGTTGTTCGTGTTGGGGATAAAGTACATGGGATTCGGAATACAGACTCAGGAATTGTCAAGATTGAAGAAGGAAAAGTTGTTACTCCCAAATTTCATTTATTATCAGTCTTTCAAAGTCAATATTTATACTAAGTCCATTTTCACTATCTGAAGGAATTCTCATGGCACTATGTCCCTTGTCACTAGAGTGTGGTAGTTATTCTGTGAAAACATCTTTAACACAAAGGTCTATGCTAGTTAGGGTGAAAACCTAAAACCACGTTGGTAATAACTCTAAATGTCATGCAGGTTGTAGTGGGATTGGGGTCGTTGTTCTGAAATTTAGTGTTCAATAAGGATGTTTTTACTTGGACTGTAATATATCCCAGAGCAGAACAGAACAGACCAGACCAGACTTGTATAGTTATAAAAATACAAAGAAATAAGACCAGTTCCGACCAGACCGGACTAGCAAATTACAGTCCAAGTAAAAACATCCTATTTGTCATAAACTATCAAAACAGTGGAGCATTGAAAAAATATAACAAGGCAGGGAGGGAGCCAATGCATTTCATTCTAACTGATAATTTGCTTTTGTCACATCCTAGGTCACAAAGTTGATAAAGAAGAGGGGCATGAGTGCAGTTTCAGTTGATTGTGCTGGTGCTGGTGACATAATTTCAATGGCTGGGTTGACCACTCCAGCAATTGGTCATACTGTTGCGAATGTTGAGGTGCTTAAAATCATTTTATTCTAGTAGTACTGTGGTACTGTGCTGGAGTTGTTCTTGATTATCAAATTATTGTACGTAGTATTATATACCTAAGGCTCTAAGCACAAAATGTATGAGTATAATAAGATACATAACACATGCATATCTTATAGTTATGAAAGTTTACTACGTCTTTTAGCTGAAATACATATTATGAAAGTTTGATACACATGTTGCCTACGTTACCTAATCCATGTATATCTTATAATCATGAAAGTTTTGGATCCTGCATCTTCCCCTTCAAATATAGCTTTTAGATTGACATCTCATTAAATCTTATAGGTTTCGACAGCTCTGCCCACTGTTGATCTTGACCCCCCTACAATTTCTATGACGTTTGGTGTTAATGATTCTCCATTGGCTGGACGTGATGGAATCCATGTAAGTAATTATATCTTTTTCAGCACACTGACTAAATTCCGACCTAGCGTCGCACCAAGTGTGAATTCAAATTGTACAATTTTGGTAGTAAGTGAAGCTCCCGCTTTGTTCAGAGCTCCAAGGGCTTCACTCCCACCTTGGTGTGTGTGAGGGGGGGGGGGGGCAAAGGAGTAATCATTTTTTATGCCTGATCATGTATTTTCTTGCAGTTGACTGGAGGTAAAATTGGTGACAGGCTAATGGCTGAAGCAGAAACCAATCTTGCTATAAATGTTCTGCCCAGTACGTCAGAGTCATACGAAGTACAAGGGAGGGGTGAACTTCAATTAGGTGAGTAATTATTTATCATCTTTCAACTTCTTAAAGAATATCAGTATACTTTTATCTTCGCTGGTCTCATGAATTTTCCACTTCAGCTGTGTTAATTTTTTCCCTGGTTTAAATAAGGAATCTTAATTGAAAACATGAGGCGAGAAGGATTTGAGCTGTCTGTCTCTCCACCCAAAGTCATGTGAGTTCTTTTCTGAGTTGCTATTCTTGGTGGAGTCATCGTATATCCTTTCATTCAGGCAGTCATCTGCGTAATGAATTTATTAGTATAAAACAATTATACATTGAAAAAGAGAGTGCTAATATGCCATGTTATCATTGGCACTCAATTATATTTAAAAAATAGCAACACACTGTATAACTTACCATATTATATTACAGAGTTGTAAGTGGTTCAGTATTGCTTAATCCATTACAAGCCTGCTTCTCCTCCATGACAAGTTTTTATTGGTATTTCTTCATGGACAGGTACAAGTTTGAGAAATCTCAAAAGCTTGAACCTATTGAAGAAGTGACTATTGAGGTCTGTAATGGTCTCTGAGGACTCATTCTTTGGCTTCATTTCATAGTATTTAGTACTAGTATTAAGGTATCAATTTGTTGATTATATTACCAAGGTTGATGAGGCACATGTTGGTCTAGTCATGGAAGCACTCAATCACCGGCGAGCTGAAGTAACAGACATGGGTCCTGTCCCTGGCAATTTCGGCAGGACAAGAATGTGTTTGACTTGTCCTTCAAGGTATGCTCTGTTTTCTTGTTGTTCTTGCTGCACCCACTTGTCCTGTCCAAAACAATGTGCAAAACAATATGTTGGTTTCCTAAAGGTGTTCTTTTTTTTTTTTAATGTAAATTTCATTTCCTTTTGGCTGAATCATTCTCTTAAATTCGACATTTTCCACTATACCTTTGATGTGGAAGTTATCTGCCCAACTAAATCTGCTTTGTCATTGGGCATGTGTTTATTAATTTTCCATGTGCTCCCTTCAGTGATGCTAACTTTAAAATATAGGAAGTACAAAAAAACTATTTAAAGAACATACTCATTCACTTTTTAATAAAATAGGCAAATGCCAACCTCAACTGTTATGTGTGGTTTTTAAGATAACAAAAGTCAAATGGTTTTTTATTGGGATGCAAAACAAATGGTTGAGATATGTGAATATCGAGACATAAATACAGTTTTGATATTTGATGCGGAATTAAATATCAAGGGAATTAATAGAAATAATATTGAATATTTTATAAGCTGTAATAAGAAAGTGGCTGGGCCCAAATAATTAGTTATTTTGAAGAGAAGCCTCTTTAGGAATAGAATAAATAGTAGGATTGGCAAAGGGAGGGGCAGGTTGGGATTTGGGAAAACTTGGGAACTGGGAGAGTGAGGCCTCTCGAAGAGTCTCAATTGTATTTTCCGTTTCAAACTATCGTATCAATCTACGTTTGTTTTTTCCGTTTCCAAATTGGTTCCTATCAATATTGCTTTCAAAGCAAAATGAAACCCTGGGCTGAATTTTCCAATTTTTTTTATCAGGAAATATACTATCTTTATCATTCAAATTTTAAATATTTGTAATATACAGTAACTATTTGTATACTTTGTGAAATGGTCCCACTGAGTTAACATTTAAGGTTATTATCATCATCATGACCACCTTAATCCCAACTATAATTGGTCAGTAACAAGAAAGTTTGAGTGTCAGCTTATTGTTTGAAAGTAATTACTACTGTGGAAAATACCATGAGATGGAGATGCATGGAGATGGTACGCATAACACATTGCAAAATTGAAAAATCGATATTTTGAAAATTAGTGTATGCACTATGCATTGACAATTTGAAATCATAAAACATGACAGAATTGAAGGTCGTCATATAGACAATAAAGTTGTATCTAGTGATTATTGTCGAAATAAACAAATTTAAAGATTTTTTCTATGCAATAAAAACTATTTCTTTCTCAAGCTTCAAATTGCTTTTGACCTTTTGTTATTAGATACTCCCTTCCGTCCCATTTTACCTGTCTTACTTCCCTTTTTGGGTTGTCCCAAAATAAGTTTCACATTTCCTTTTTTGGAAAGAAATATGTGGTCCACAACATTTCACTTTAATATACTCAAATTTCAACCACAACTTTTACTTATGCAACCACTTTATTAATAATTGTGCCAAACCAAAACAAGACACATAAAATGGGACGGAGGTACTACTATTTCTAAAGGTGATTGTTCAGCTCAAATTGTGAGTTTTTTTTGTTTTTATGTGTCAGGCTAGTTCTTACTTTTAGTATCATGACCAATCAAAACAACTTGTTTTCCTGCAATGAAGCATAACCTTTGTAAGATTCGTCGTACCCTAATATATTTCTTTGGTTGCTTTATGCAGAGGGTTGGTTGGTTACAGAAGTGTGTTCAGTAGTGATACTCGTGGCACCGGATTCATGCATCGTGCTTTTCTGAGTAAGTTTTTGTTTCATTTCAGTGTTTTTGTATTGGATATTTCTGTTCTCCAGCTAATCATTAATAAATATTGTGCGAGTTCCTTATGATGTCCTGCTCCCCCCTTTATTCAGATTATGAGAAGCACCGTGGTCCTCTTGGAAATGTCAGAAAAGGTGTTTTGGTATGTTTCTATTTTAGCTTGTACAGGATCCATCATCCATGTGCAAATTGCTAAAATCGCTTTGTTTGTAATTGAATTTCACTACAATGCAATGGGAAATACTACCTCAAACGAAAATAGAATACCCTATTATGTTCCATCACATTGTATTCCAACAGAGAAAAATTATTCATTTGTCTAATTTTGGTTGAACTTGTTTTAACAGGTATCTATGGGCTATGGAACTATCACTGCTCATGCATTAATGAGTCTAGAAGCTCGTGGAGTTCTCTTTGTCAGTCCTGGGGTAGAGGTAGATTGGTTTTTGACTTTTTTCTTTCTTTTCCTCAATTCTTTCTGGCTCATCGTTATCATCTACCTTTCTATAATATTGCTTGCTTTAAATGCCATGCACATTATGGGTACCAAACTACCAATGTAAATGCTGTGCCTTTTTTAACGGCGGTGAACTTATGGTTGCAGACATATGATGGCATGATTGTTGGAGAACATTCTCGAGACACTGATCTTGATGTAAGGACCCATCCTTCTTTGTCCTTTATTGTCTGTTTGTGGTATATGACTCCTGGATGTCTCTCTTATTCCAGATTAACCCAGTAAGGACAAAGGAACTCACTAATATACGGGCTGCCAGCAAGGATGAGAACGTGAAGCTATCTCCTCCTCGACTTGTACGCACATTTGTTGCTCTTCCATAATTCCGTTATTGTCAAATGTTTTTCCATAGATAGCCTTTCTAGTGCCTCTTGATCATAAAAAAACAATATCTCTCTGATATGCGTAAAAGAACACCGTTCTAGGCAGACGATGCCTTACACTTTAGTCATGCACTTGAAGTGCTAAGCAGAGATCTTATATTGACTTGTTGACTCCTCCGCACAGATGACTCTTGAGGAAGCAATAGGATATGTTGCATCAGATGAGCTTATTGAGGTATACTGTCATGGATGCTATTTTTTTGTTTGCACTTTGTCTGCTTTTCTTCTCTCTCTTTTGTGGTCAGATAATTAGCCATTGTGTGAAAATTTAACCCAATATCAAGTGATTTAATGTTGTAAAATGCACTGGACTTCAGGCAGAAAACAGATTGGAATGCCTAGCGTCTAGGGTGGGGATTGGTTGGGGTTAGTGATTAGTCTCATAGTTTGATTAGTCTCATAGTTGGGGTTACTTGGGGTGTAAGTGAATTAGGTGGAGCCTGAGGGGGGAAATTAACATATGTTGTTAAGGACTAGTTTGAGACCATTAATTGGAGCTAGCAGTTTTTTTGCAACAATGATGTATTGCCACTTCAGCTAATTGTCTGTCCGGTCAGGTTTTTAATGTATATTGGCAATGCATGCTTGTTACTCTTTCTGTCTCATGAGAAGATTTTGGTCCATCTGAAGTTATGTTATCTTTCTCATTTAAACCCCACTAGCATTTTGCGCTCCCAGTCTCTCACTTTGTTGTTTTATCAATTCTTTCACTTCTGTGTTGAACCCATATTACTTTTCATCTCTTCTTAGAATTAAATGGTTAAACAATAACCGTCTCCTTTATTATCTTAGCAAACATGTTGAACTGATATGTATCTTGCATTAGTAGTGTATAGCGCTCTTGCCCACAAGACAGAATCTTGTATGCTGTCTTTCATTATGCGCTTATTGTTTCCTATACAGGTTACACCCAAAGCGATTAGGCTAAGAAAGAGATATTTGGATGTCAACAAGCGTAAAGCTATGAGGCACAAACCAAAGGAGTGAAAAGTTTGAGGAATCGCAGTTTTGTAAGCTATCAGTAGCTCTGCTAGAGGCTATTAGTGGAATATATTGTATTACATTGCATTATTAATGTTTGGATTTATCCACTCCATTTTAGGTTCTTTATATTTATAAATACATTTTTTACATGCATAAAAATTGTATATAACTACTACCAGATTACCAGTTTCACCATTGAGGGATAGAAGAAACCTTTACTGTACTAAATGGTATAATCAATAAGAGACTCTTCATTAACCAGTACTGACGAGTGTCAAGTGATTTACCCTACTGCTCATGAATCCTCGGTGCATTTCTCGAATTAATAGAACTTAAAACAGCATGGACATAGTTTGGTTTTGAAATGTTTTCTTTTGGACTGTTTTCAGTCCTAGACCAGACAAGACTTCTATAGTTATAAAATACAGAGATCAGAGGTTTACCAAATCAGACCAGACCAGTTCAGCATGGACATAGTTTGGTTTTGAAATGTTTTCTTTTGGACTGTTTTCAGTCTCAGACCAGACTTCTATAGTTATAAAATACACAGAGATCAGAGGTTTACCAAATCAGACCAAACCAGATCAGCAATTTTCAGTCCAAAAGAAAACATTCTTAGTTATAAAACAGACAATTCAGCTTTGAGACAATGAACCTTATCCGGAACATTTGTATTCACTATCCAGCTTTGGTTCTGGTTCTTAGGACCGGCAATTCCGAACTTCCACTTCTCATTTCGGTTCATACTGTATTCACGCTTCATAAGAGTGCAGGAGATAGTGGAATTGGATTCGATCAATGGATGAGAACTATCGTTTGTCAGATAGGACATGGCTTAATACAAAATTGAAACTTACCGTTGTTCACCCTCATAAAAGTTACTGCTGCTAAATTTAATTTGACTAATAATGTGTAACAAAATTAACTCCATCAAAGTAATTGTTTTTCTCAGAAGATGAAACGACCCTTGCCAAATTATCTGGTTCGACCTGGTCCGGTACTGTCGGACTGCATCGGGTCTATAAAGCTGTGTTAGGACTGGGTCTATAGCTACTACTGGAACTGCTATATAAAGCTGAGTTAAAAAAACTGAAGTACCTCCATATTTAATTACAACAATGCTTTATGTACCCACTCTTATACCAACCTTAGATGTTTTTACTTGGACTGTAATTTGCTGGTCTTGTCTGGTCTGATCTGGTCTGGTCTGGTCTGGTCTGAACTGGTCTGGTAAGGTCTGGTTTCTTTGTATTTTTATAACTATCCAAGTCTGGTCTGATCTGGACTGGTCTGGTCTGGTCTGGGGCAAATTACAGTCCAAGTAAAAACATCCTTATACCCACCATGTTTGTGAAGTGTTTTTTTTGTCTGTGAACCCGATTCACAGACAATATTTTGTTTGTGCAAAATATTGTCTGTGAACCGGGATTCACAGACAAAAATAAAACACTTCAAAAGTGGGTCTAATTCTTTCCACTCTTTTCTCGTTTGTATTATACTTAGGGGTGGTTCGGTACGGTATACCGAATATTTTCTCTCATACCTTTGCCGTACCAAAACTTTCGGTATACAAAATTTATATACCGTTACCTTACCGAAGTTTCGGTATACTGTATTTCGGTATACTGAAGTTTCGGTGCGGTATCAGTAAATTACCATAAACTAATAATATACACTAAATCGGTGTTAGTAGCGACATATTTAATCCATTATTAAAAGGTTTAAAATACAATTAATAATCTATTGATGTCATATTCAATATTGAACAATAATTATTTTTAGTATATTTAAGTAGTTCAACATGCCACGTATTAAAAAGTAATACATTCCCCTAAAATAACTTGAATAATATAGATATAATTAAATCAATAGTGATCTCTAACAAAAATAAATAATTTTTTCAAAGAATATGTATATAAAATCATTTATTCATAATATGATTGTGTATTTAGTCATTTTATAATATTAAAAAAATATTTAAATAAGACTTTCAGACAAAGTTGTATGTTTTGACTCGCGAAATCCCTATGTAGATATACTCATCACACTCGTTAGCGGCTCAGCCATCGCGACTCACAAGCTCTTGGGACAAGATGAACTTAATTGTAGACATTAGTACATTACTCATTAGTCATTAGGGGCAATTTATTTGAATGTTACGTAATAGAAGTCTAGAAGGTTACAATGGGTTTGGGAAATTGGGCCTTTATTTTTGTATTTTGATATTTGTAACCAACCTAAGTATTAGGTTTAGGCTTCAAAATTGTAATGGACTTTTACAATATTTTAGAATTTAAAGTAATTTTTGGGTAGGGAGTCGGTACAGTATTATACTGGTATACCGCGGTATTTGAAAACATTTACCGTTACCGTACCGAAATAAATTGGTACGGTATGCTACCGTACCGAAAATGACGGTATACCAATATTCCGGTATTTTCAGGTATTTTTTGGTACGGTAAGTGCGGTATACCGATTTTTCGGTATTTTTGCCCAGCCCTAATTATACTACGTATATATTTATATTTAATACTCTTTTTTTACATTCATATCCAATATTAGAATATATAATATTATGTCTGTAGGCCTGGAAAGTCACCTTTACGATCATCAGAAAATCAGATTGCCTCCCAAAAAATAGAAGACCAACAACTATTCGAACATCCAACCCAGTCAACATCTGAATATGCACAAATAAGAGATATACCATTGATATATTACGCCGTTTCCATTTATATATCCCAAACTTGTGCAGACCTTTCTTCGTTCTCTCGCTACTTTGTCCTTAAGTGATGTGGAACTTTTCACTGATGGCAGTGAATACCGTAGTATGGTTGGATCTTTATAATACTAGGCTATTACTAAATTTGATATTGCTTATATTGTTCATTTGGTGTCCTCAGTTTACACATGTCCCTCGTACTATATTATATTATCTAGGATGTTTTTGTATTAATCAATGCCTTAATCCATACATGTGATCATTTCAGAGAGTACATTGATTTGATAAGGAGATTGTGACTCATACTTCACCCTTTCACATTTCCGCCTATGGAGAAGGCCTTAATGTACCAACCCCTTTCATTTTATATAAATTTTGCATATTAGCCTCTTGTGATTAATAAAATGTATTAAACTCCTTGTGTAGTAACTAATCGTCCTCAAGAATAAATTCAATTGCCAAATAGAAAACAATTACGTTGTAATATTTTTGAATAATTTAGATACCTTGACACACTTAGCCATTTTCTAAATTGTTAAATTTGTTCTTGGAAGGACTCTGCACATGATTAATCACAACACAAGGTTTTATCCTATTTTAAAATCACAATAAGCTAATGCGCAAAATTTATACATCATCACGGGTCATACAGGGCATTAAGTGATTAAACCGGCCTAGACAATACATCTCATTTAATCTAAAATTATAAAATTGTAAGGGAATAGTATGTCCTAATTCCAATCCCAAGTCCGCTGTTTCGGCCTATCTAACTTTACCATTCATACAGTTAACGTAACTTTTCAAATTTGGATTTTTTTAATTTAATTCTAAATAAGTTTTTGCACATTAATAAAACTTAATGCAGGAGATGTTACAAGTAATTACATATTTATGACTATAATAAAGATTGTTTACAAAAATGTGACTATAGTAGTAAACTAGTAATGGATCATAATAACTTGTATTCAATTTTTAAACTTAAGTTACCATCACACTACATTGTAGTAACTATTAATTACATTTGCGTAAATAAGTTTGAGAAAAGGGTCAGATAGGCTTTCGAACTTACATAAAAAGGTCAAATAAGCCCTTATATAGGAGGCTCTGTCTGGTCGTCGCCATTTGTGGCGGTTCACGGTGAATTTTTTTGATGAAAACTTTTAAGCATTTTATTCATTAAGTGTAGTTTACGCATACCAAATTTCAGCTAAAACTTCAATCGGGAAGACATTCAAATGAATTCTTGAAGTTAACTGCGCTTTTAACTGTGCAGTTATCTTCAAGAATTCATTTGAATGCCTTCCCGATTCAATTTTTAGCTGAAATTTGGTATGAGTAAACTAGACTTAATGAATAAGATGCTCAAAAAACTTCATCAAAAAATTCAAAAAATTCCATCGGGAACCGTCCCAAATGGCGACGACCAGACAGAACCTCCTACATAAGTGCTTATTTGACCTTTTTAATTAAGTTCGGGGGCCTATCTAATCTTTTTTCCAATAAGTTTTATTTTAGTAATATTTTTGAAAACCCCGAACTAGTGTAAATTAAAAATGACAAAGTTTGTTGGTATAATGGTACTGCAATCTTTTAAATTTACATTCACAAGTTTATCAGATGCGTCCATTTGATTGTTCACAACCGTTGCATTCTTGAATTTTCCGTAGATAAAATAAAAAGTGAAAATTCAATCGAATGATCTATATGAAAGCTCTGTTCCAATATTGATATACATTTCCTAAAACTAGAGTTATAAATGCATGTGATACCAAAATAATCCTATATATTAATGCTATCAACGAGAATGCCGTCTTCTAGATCTGGTGCGACGACAGAGCAGTGGGCTGGCCACAACAATCAAAATAATCAGTACCTGCAAGACTACCAATATCTTCAAACCTGGAAAAATGACCATTCAATGACTTTCTATAACAAATTATAAAACGGCAAAGTATTAAAGTAAAAATCAGTGCTTTGCTGATTAACACAACTTTACCTTTAACTTTCTGTACAGGGTCCTCCGTCCCTACTTTTCTCACTAAATCATCTCGTGAAATATGACTTCTTGTCTTGTAAGCGAAATCCCCACCCATGACACAAGTATTAGGGCAACTAATGGCGCCATCATTTTCATCACTTCCATCACAGCAATCTAGACAATTGGTAGAACCCACAGATGATTTGGAAACGCAAAGCAGAACTAAATCACAAATAATGCACAACTGAAAAACTAAGTAGCACTCAAATGCGACACACAGAAATGATTTTGCTTCTTATTCTTCTATAAATACACATGCATGTGCTGATGGTAATATCAAGTCAATTGTTTATAATTAATTCTTGAGAAATACATTGCTGAGAAGGAAACACATTCGTGAAACACTTGATTATCTGTGCAGACCATCCCAAAACGCTTTATTATACATACAAAAGTAATGCCACGACTTTTTTCTAACTAAGGCTATGTTTGGATCTGGAAAAATGCTAGTTATTTTCTTATGTTTGGTTTTGCCTCAAAAAATCAAAGGGAAATGAAATATATGATCAAAGTTGATCACACTTTACCTATGTCTAGACTTCTTACTATTTACTCCCTATATGATAGAAAATAAATTAGACATAGAATTTAAGAAAATAATAAACACAAGTTTTTTCACTTTCAACCAATGTTTATTTTCCTTGACATTTTCTTTCATTCCGATTTTTTCTTTGATTTTCTCCTTATTTTCTTTCTCTAGCATTTCCCAAGTAATCGAAATGCACCCAACAATAACATGAGAGAATTCCGTGCAAGTTTGCAACTTAGCTCAAAAGGTCAAACACCTATAGTTGGGAAGGAGCGAAGGACAATATTATTGTACTGTATATAACAAGGATCTATAGACCCAAACAAGCATCATTTGCAAGTGTGAAAATAACACAAGTGACTATTTGGATAACATACCACAAATGCGATCATTTACTTGAGATGAAAACAAAAATTTTGGCATGTTGCCCATATTCCTGCAATAGAACTTGCCATGGGGACAGGCCGCAGTTCCTGCATATCCGTTTTAAGAGGTTATTAGCTATAGATGAATCATTATCTCATTGTGTGCCTAAAGCTGCACAAAAAAATTATAATAGCAAGCTTGTAGCCAACACACAAACAAAAAAAAACCAAACATACTCAGTAGCTACACAAGGAAGCTGTTACGATCCCACACCGGTCAAGTATGGTCTTGGCCGGTGGCTTATAAGCAAGGTGTTCCCTCCTCCTAATCGGTTGGTCTTTTGGGGGTGAGTTCCACACCTGGGCTTATGGCACTGGTTTGGGCCTAGTATGGGCTAGGTCTGTAACATAAGCAGGGTCCAGGGAGGGTGAGGAATTCGTCAAGTGTGAATTCATAAACCCAAGAAACTTCAGTAGAACTTGTAGGGTCATTTAAACGGCTCATGCCCCACTGCACCAAGGTGACCTCACAAATTTCAGACATGCCATATACCGAAGCTTTTATTCCATGAAGTGAAGAAACACATATAGTGAAGTTTTTTACAATGAAGCTCGCTATACTTATTTAAACACATTTAAGAATAGTAGTTAGTACTTAAAGATTGCTCAACTAAACAAATATGTTGAAATATTAGATTTACCGGGGTTGACCTTTGGATGGTACTCAAGTATTTATATGATATTAGAGTTAGGTCTTGTGACTTTATTGCAACAGCAGTTCCTGTTCTATTCCTCATCTCATATCAAAGTTAAATTTTTAGAACTGAACCCAAATTCTTAATAAAACACCAATTACTACAGCCTCTAATGCCAATATATCAAACAAGTTAGGCTTTGTTCGGAACTCAGAAAATCGTAGGGAAATGTGAAAAAAAGACCAAGTGTTTCTTCTTATATTTAGTTTTACCTTGGAAAAGTGAATGCAAGTCGAATTCTATTAGAACTTTTAAATTTTAACATATATAAGGTTTCATAGTCTTTGTATAATCCAAATGAATAAATAAAATGACTTTGAACAAGTATCTAAACAAATTTTATTCACCCCTCCCAAATTTTGGTACTTCAAATGTAATCCATATTTTCCTGTGAATCTTCTTGACCTAGTATTTTCCTGGTCCTAACGGAGCCTTAAGAGGACAAGTTAGCCACCAAACAGCAAAACACAATTGCACAGATGCAGAAATGTCAAATTAAACCAGAAGTCCACAATCAACTGACCAAATGGTGAGAGTCAAAGTCACAGAGAGTATAGAGATTAGCACCGCTATACCAGCACATGTTGTTAAGTACAGGGAATGAACTTTTCTATCCTAAACGACAGTAGTAGAACCTAGTCAATTTGAGCATCAGCTATAAGTAAACCGAAAATCAGAAACAATTGGAGAAAAATACGACTTAGGAGGTTTTAAGCTAAGGTTCACACCTGGCTCATCAGTGCCGTCAAGACAGTCACAGAAATCGTCGTTTAGGCGGTCTCTGGTGAATGATTTTGAACCATCTTTACAATTGATCAACTCCGACGACGTATAGTACTTCTCATCTGCAAAAGTATCATATCATGGAGTTAATACTTACATTTTGAGAAAGATTGTGCTCCATAGATGTAGACTGTAATCGAATGAAGAGAGAGAGAGAGAGAGCACCTAGGGGGTGGATGCCGATGGGCAATTGAAGAGTAGAGGAACGGCATAAATGGAAGGAAAGACTGGCGACACACAGATGGAGGAGAAGAGTTTTCTGAAGAGCATCACCAGTCTCCATTAGTGTTAGGTGACTGTTTTCTGGCACTGTTAAACGAATTTCCTTGTGCTGAAAAGGAAAGAAAACGAAAGAACAAAATGGAAAAAAGATCAACTTCTTGATGGATGAATGTCTCATTTTCACATATGTCAGTTGTAAAGAGTTTGCCGTTTAAAGATAATTTTCTTTCTTATTTGTAAAGAGAATTGGGTGTCTCAAGAATTATTAGGATCAGAAACAATTGTTTTACATTGTAGTACCTCCGTCCCCCTAAGTTTGGGACAAGAGAAGGTGACACGGTTATTAATAAAAGTGGGTTTATGTGGTTGATATTGAATTGATAAAGTAATAATAAAGTAAGAATGATTTAGAACCACACAAATTTTACCAAATAAGGTATGAGACAATCTTAGTGGGACGGACCAAAAAGGTAAAATGAGCCAATCATAGCGGGACGGAGGGAGTATGTCTCAAGAATTATCAGGATCACAAACAATTGTTTTACACAAGAATTATCAGGATCAAACAATTGTTGATCTGGTTTGTTTTACACAAGAATTATCAGGATCAAACAATTGTTCATCTGATTTGGTCTGATCTGAATTGGTCTGGGATGTTGTATATCTAATTCCATGTCTTTGTTACATCAATTGTATATATCTACTTTTGTCCTTCTATTAGACACTGTTTTCATTTGATTTTGAAAAACATTTTTGAAAAGCTATTTGGAGTGTTTGAAAAAGGCAGATTTAGTTTGATTTTAGGGTAAAAGCTGGAAGCTCCTCCTAGCATGCTTCTATTGCTTTTTTGGTTTTATGGTAATTAAAGGAAACTTTGAGGATAGTTATACCATCCCATCCCCTCCTGATACCCAATTTTACCCTTCTCAAACATCTTCCGATATCTCCGTCTTCTCCATCTTTGTGTCGCAACCTCTCGAGTAAACAACTACTCTCAGTAAATGAAACCTGCACCTAACTTTATGAAGTCTTTAATAGATAGAAAAGAAAAAACCAAAAACTGATTACTTGGAAGCAATCAAGAAGAAAAAGAGGAGGATAAATATTGAGGGGCAAACATTGAAGAACGGTCGGTTATGAAGGTAGGTATGATTAATGAAAGAAGGATGTTTGTATACTTCGAGAATCACTTTTTTACCAAACAATCCAACTTTAACATTTTCACTTTAATCACTTGTACTTTCAAATACTACCAACTTTTATTATTAATCACTTTTCCAAAAATCATTTTACAAAATCACCTTTTAAAAAGTTAAGCAATAGCAAACATAGACTTTACCAATGGGAAATTCTAAGGGTCTGTTTGCAACAGTTTCTGCTTTTAAAAAAGTGCTTTTTAAAATGAAATGAGGAGAAGTGATTAAATAAAAGTTGATAGTGTTTGAGAAAAAAGTGATTTTGAAAAGTAAAAGTGGATGGTGTTTGGTAAAATAAGTGTTTTTTGTGTAATAGAAAAAGTAAAAGCACTTTTGATGCGGAAGCCGAGAAAAATAAAAGTTGTAGTGTTTGGGAAAATAAGTGCTTTTTTAAAGCCAAAAGTTGAGAAGTGCTTTTTTAAAAGCAGTTGCAAACCAACCCTAAAAGAAGTCCCTATTTTACTAAAGAAAGTCCCTAATTAAAATTAATTAATTAAAAATAAATGAAAGAACTATTACATCCGCGTTGTTTGTCCATGGTTGTGGTAAGGCTCTATATTCAATCGTCCCACATTACCGATGTCACTCAGAGCAGGGGTGGAGCTGCCGAAGGGTGAAGGAGAAGAACGGCGTAGCACCACCATTGTCGAAATACCTACGGTCGAGACTGACGTATCCTGCTCTCCGTTCATAGACCGATGACCCCTTCTCCAAACTCCCGGATATACATTCTCACCTACTCGTTTCTTCTTCTATTTCCCCCTTGTACAAAATGGAGAAAAACAGACCTTTCCCTCATTTGTCATTCAAATCTCCACATCAACACCAGGAAGCTGGTATGGCCCTTTTTGGAGTAACTAAATGTTGGAAAAATGTGTTAAAATTGCATTAAACGGTAATTTTGGGGCAATTTTTTGAGTGATGTCTACTTCCGATTTGAGTCGGGTCAAAGTGGTTTCGGATTTTCTTGTTAAGGGCTATAATTCGATATGTGGTACGCTCAAAATGGATAACGGATGAATGAGAAATTAGTTCTCGAAGTTTACCCGTTAGAATGGGAAAACTGGGAAAAATGATATGTTTCTAGTGTGTTATTTCCCACACCAGAAAACCCAAGGGATTTGCAACTCTTTATAAAGGACTCCCCTTAAGGAGTTAAATTCTTAACAATGAGGTTTACTTTCAAATTGCATAAAGCATGTCGATAATCTTTAAACCAATCTTGCAATTGGGCGTAGCCGCTTAGGAGAAAGGAAACGGAAAGTTAATTCTAAGTCTTCAAGAGCATAAGAGAAACTGAAATTGCGAAGAATGCTTCTAGTGTAGTTATCCATTCCGCAGAAGGCAATTTTTAATTGGAAAGAGAATGAACGTGGGTTGAACATGGATTTTAGCTCTGTGCGACATCAGATAACAAGCTACAAAGGAGGCTGCAATAGGGCTAATGGATTTCCGCCACACCAGAGAAGAACATATAGATTGGTTGTGCTGATGGTTACGGACAAATAATTGGGATATAATAGGCATTTTATTTTTATTTAATTAATTAATTTTAATTAGGAGCTGTTTTTAGTAAAATAGGGGCTGCAAGAGGGCTATTATTTTGTACTATTATATAATTTACACTATAAGTGAGTAAGCTAAGGAAGTGATATTTGGATGTCAACAAGTGTAAATCTGTGAGGAACAAATCCAAAGAGTGAGATGATGTGCAGTGATTCTGCTTGAGGCTATTCTGGTATTCTGCTTGATATACCTACATTATCACTGCATTAACAATGTTTGGATTTATTTGCTCCATGTAGGATTTACTTGCACAGAATTTGTACATAGTATATGACTACTACTAGCAACTCCTTTGAGCGATAGAAGAAACCGTTTTTTTCTCGTTTATACAGAGTAGTTTTTATGGACCCCATACTAATTTACGTTAAAATTTGAGAGGAGGTGTGATTCTTGAAATGATTAGACATGCAAATACGGGTTGGACACGGTCTAATTGTGAGCAAATTTCGGTTTAGGCATCAAAGAACTTTAACCAGAACGTATGTACTCAATTTTGTGTTGGTTTCCCACACCGGATATTTCTTAAAACAATTAAACACTATCTTAAAATCTTGGGTTATTCTTCCTGTTAAGTTGATCTTTTAGAATGAAATTTTAGATCTTAACATTTTGATTGTGTGATTCTTGAGACCAACAAAGTCTTCTAGTTCTCTTTTTTGTTCATACATTATTTTACAGTTCACTAGACGCTAGTGTTTGAAGTTTGAGATCACTATGTGTACTAAAATTTTCGTATGTGTGCATGAAAGGGGATAGAGGTGTATTAAAGATGAAAAGTGATCGGGTAAATTGTGCACTAAAATTTTTGTAGGTGTGCAAGAAAGGGGGATGTACGTTTTGCACACTCCTCCTCCTCCTCCTCCTCCTCTCTTGTTAAGAACAATCAAGAGAAGAGATATTGTTCATAACAGAACGTAAGAATAGATTGAGCAAGAAGAAGAATAAGCTTTGCATCAACTGAAAATTGAACTCCCCTACGTTCGTTACATCAGTTTATAACAGTCAGATGAGCTACTAACAACCAAAACAATTACAGGCGTAGATGAGATGATGACGTGTCATCATCTCTTTATTTACATGTCATCAAAATTAGAATATTACATGGCTTAACACTTCAACAAATGTAAACAAGAAGGTTTAATCCTGACATTGCCCCCTTCTTCCACCGAAGCTTGTCCACAAGCTACAATTCCATGAAAGTGCTTCATTATTGTATCATAATCTTCCCATTTAATCAGTAACTGGACAGCAGCATCCTTGTTCCTTTTGCTAATACTCCAACAGGAATTAATAATGAATCTCCTTCATTCATAGCAGGAATGCTACTGACAACTTTATCTGATAAGCCCACCTGTTTCTTTAACAATGATACGTGAAAAATTGGGTGTATTTGACATCCTTTTGGCAAATCCAACCTATAGGCTACTGTCCCTACTCTTTCAATAATTGGAAATGGTCCACAATACTTGGGACTTAATTTCCAAATAGCAGATTCCCTCATGCTCATTTACCTATAAGGCTTGAGTTTCATATAAACCCAATCTCCAATTGCAAACTCCCTTCACTTCTATCTTTGTCAGCCAATTCTTTCATCCTATTCCTGGAAATATTGAGCTGGTCCTTTAGCTTTTCAGAGATCATTTGTCTTTGTTGTAGCTCTTGTTCTACTCCGATCCTACCACAAACAATATCTCCATAAGGCCCCATATTAATCAGAGGTGGCTTATGTCCGAATAGAGCCTCAAAAGGACTCATCCCAATAGAGGTGTGAGAGTAGGAAGAGTTGGAGAAGATGTGTTGAAAATGTATAAAAATAGGAGTATTTGTAGTTTTTTTTACCCCACCCCCACCCCACCCACCCCCAAAAGCCCGGGACCCCCCTACCCCCACCTAATGGCTATATAGTCATTTGGGAGCCCTGCCCAACAGTTAGGGCCTTGTTTGGTTGTTTTGTTTTAAAAAAAATTAAAATTAAAATTGTGACCGTTAGGCCCGGCCCAGGCCTAGTCGGGTCACCAATTCACCTACCCGAGCCCGCCCCTGCTATACCCACCGGTTCGGGTCCAAGCCCAGTACCGGACCGAAGGACCGGGCCGGTCCCGCACAGTAGCAGGTCGGTCAGGTTCACGAGTCGGGCGGCCCGAACAGGGTCCAAGACCAGGCCGGGCCCACACAGTAGCGGGCCGGGCCAGTTCCCGGGTCCGGCGGCCCGAAGTGGGTCCAACTAGCGTTGGACCCGGGTCGGACCACCCGGCCCGTGGACCGGACCGGCCCGCTACTGTGCGGGACCGGAATCGGCCCGGTTCTCGGGTCCGTTTCCGGGTCGGGCCTAGGCCCGGGGGGCAGGTCCGGGCTCGGGTCTTACATTTGGTGAACCGGCCCGGCTGGGTCGGCCCCGGATTCGAGCCAAATTGAGATTATTATTTTTTTTCATTTTTTTCATGGTTTGGAGGGTGGGGGTGGGGGGGGGGGGGAAGCAAAAACAAAAA